ATAAATTGATAACAAGAGGGATGAGTGAACTTCACTTCAACAGTCTCATGTATAGATATTGTGTACCAGACTGTGTTGGTTGAAGCCATAACAGAATATCATATATGACTTGTAGATACTTTCAAAAAGCAATTCAGTTAATTCTCTGTTTCTCGATAAATTACTGATGATTTGCTTTTAATTCATTTTACCATTTAACTTAATTAGACCAGAAGTTTTGAACGTTGGTTGTTGAGAAAATATTCTGCTCGAGCTAGAGTCATCTGTGCTGCTGACGAGGTGAGCAATAATTGATTTCGCTTTGCATAAATGTTCCTCTTATAATAATGTCAGCCGTTATTACGAAAGCCATAAAATGCTGATGTATATGTTGTAAGGGTAGGTGATCTTTACACTGGTTCTATTATGCACTAGAATTTTTCATGAACAGTCTTATTTCTATAGAGGAAATGAGTTCAGAGTGAAATGATGAATGGATGTCTCAGACTGGACAAGCTGAAGATTGTGTGTATCACAATTTAACGATATTTTCCTAATCAGCCAGCCCTGGTGTGTTGCCTAACACATGAACAATGATTTTGCGAAATGATGAACTCACAGTTTGTTGTCAAATCACGATTCAGTAGAATTTCGAAGGTTTCTGTTATGATGAGATTACTATTAGTTTTATCTTTGTATGCTGTTCGCTTGCAGAGTGAAACGTCTTCACTTCTGGCACCTTAAGGTTGCCCTAAAACTGCCTGCAACGGGAACGCCTTTCTTTGCTTCTCAAAACGTGTGATGTTCAATCCATCATCATTTCCGCCACTGTATACTGTTCGTCAATAGGCTGATGGCTGTTTCTCTGATAGACTTCCTTGTTGCTACATATGTGTTATGGTTGGACATTAGAACTTTAGTGAGAAGTCTACGGAGACGGCAGTTGAAGATGGAAGCGTTCGGATTGTTGGGTTCTATTGCTGCCATGTACAGTAGAATCAAAGAAAGTTAAATTATTACTGTTATTTCAACATAGTATATCAATATCCTGAAAACTATAAGAGACTGTGATTGAAAGTAATGGTGTAGGTTGTTGTATGTCAGTAGAATTTTGCATTACATCTGCCAATTATGTAGATGAATAGATTGTTTATATAAAATTGCTATATTAGGGGACTTCAGTTCTCTTTTCCTTATTCTTCTACTCTTTTTCTTCTAGAATGGACGGAGCTACTTGCACGAATTAGTGTTCTGTTTCAATGAGAATTCAACACTTATTAATTGTTCCGCGGAATATGCAAATGATCTACAAACGTATGTATATTCATTTAGCTTACATGCTGAAATGGACTACAACAAACAGATTGAGAAGCAGGAACATTGCCGCAAATCATTCACTGTGCCAGCATACAAAATGCCTGAAATGCCTACAGAGGAGCTAGCAGTTACTTCTACAGAGAGTACTTCATCCTCTTCATCATCACACATATTTGCAGTTTTCTGGAATTGGTTTTGGCGTCTGTTGAACAATTGATTGTGTGAAGGATTGCAAACAAAGCATCTAAAAGCAATTTTTTCTTTGATTATAATTAGTGATTTCCGCTTTGATCAGCATGAAAACTTCTCGCGTGAATTTTTGCTTCTTTATTTAAATATGAGATTAACATTTGCTTATTCAATAACAACATTCGATTTTTTCTGCTGAATTATAATTCATAAAGTTTGGTATTACAGTAGACAAGATGTTGTCATCTCTGAAAATATCAATGAACTTTAATGTGTGAATTTTAAAATACATCCCCTTTGAGGTTCATCAAACGTGCTCGCTGCCAAGTGAATGATTTTGAAGTTTGAGTGGCATCTGCAAAATAATCCTAACAGTTCACGGTTTCTATGAAATCCAATTCCTCGGGAAAAGATAAACAAACATCATGTTCAACAAGAATTTTACGGATAGTATAAGCTAAATTTCCAAGGATTAATTGTGAAGTTATTTCTTCGGTCGCATGGGACAATCCATCTCTTTTACTGTCTCATTTGTGTTCAGTGATGCATTTGGTGTGAGTAATAGGAATATATCTAAGATACTCTTACAGAATGATAAAATGAGCGTCTTTATGTGGGAGTCTGAGTAGATTTATGGGCTATTGTTACAGTGAAATCGACAGATCGTGCAGCATTATTAATGAGCAGTGGTCGACCATATCACGCCGCAGTTCCTTACACGTGAATTCAACGGTAAGACACCGTTATCAGTTGGTCAAACAGGAAAGACTGTAGTAAATCAATTAGTTAGACTGCTGGAATGACCTTCATAACATTTGCACTTCCTTTCCACTAGAATTAACACTTTTGATTGATGTGTGGCCATCTGTTCTGTCAAATCTCAGGTTTTGCCAATCTACCTGCTGACTCTACAGCCTGGAGCACTCACTGTGGCTGCCAGGCTGCTGTTAACACCAACCGAATTAGTGAATGAAGAATATCAGTCTCGTGACTGCGGCAGGGTGTATTTGTTAACGATGATTCAAAATGGCTGCAGAGAAAGAAAATCTCACCACAATGCCGCCTTTCAGCCCTTATCGTTTTTAAATCCAATGATCCACACAGATAAACTAGAAGTTCTTGGTTGATTTAACGAGCTTCATCGTTCCTCTGCAGAAAATATATCAATATATGTCAGCAGGTTGTCCTCACTAGGGATACGCAACCCCTTCCAAAACTGCATGAAATCATTTCTCTATGACAGAAGTCAGACAACTTAAAATGGCTCGATGATCTCCTGGCCTAGATCGATCAGGACTGACATATTCTCACAATCTATCATTTTCAGAGCATGTCTCGAAACAAGTATCGAAATCACGCAGGCTTATTGGTTTTCTACTCAGGAACTTCCACAGAAGTGAATCCAGAATACTACCGAACAAGGTTTGTGTGCGCCTACTCCTAGATTACTGCTGATTCATGTTTAGTAGTACACGCATAGAAGACAAACTGAAAGTAGAAGGAGTACGAAGGTACTTCACGCTAAAAGTACTCGGAAGCTAAAACGACACGAACTACTCCACGGGATGTGAAGTCCTAAGAATCGAAACACTGTGATTAAGATGATCACGACCAAATTTAGCAATCTTCTTTAAGCTTCTTAACCACATTGTATATGCCCTACTAATAGCAATCGGTGATCAGACCGGCATTGAATATAACATTAGACAAACTAAAGGTACAGTGGCTATAGAACAATGTAAAAGAGTTACCAGGCAAAATTTCCTCTTGATTGGGTGTGCCTAAATATGGAACAGGTTACCTAAGGAAATACTACTAGGAAACACAATATTGCATCTAATTTCCGCAAATTATAAATAAAATTTATCACACAGAAAAGTTTCCACATTTACAATAGGAGTAATGTCAAAAACATCCAGCATATAAAATGTAAATAATAACGATAACAGCTAAGGTCATAATAATAATACAAGTGAAAATTGCAGTTGGCTTGTGTCACACAGTATTGGCAATGTGGTATAGAAGTTCCAGCATGTTTAAAAATATTGAATATAATGTTCTCCTTAAATGATATGGTGAGGGGAAAAACAAAGATTACAGCAGTCATAGAGATAAGTTGGTGTTTGCAATTATGAAAGTAAAACAAACAAAGAAGCAACAGGACCATAAATATAATAGAAATAATAAAAGTAAAACTTGAAGGTATATAAGGATGGATGGAGGAAATTGTTTATTTACTAGATGAGAAAAGGTCAGTTTATTCCTTCCTGACACTATTTTCACCACACAAATTACATGCTGAGTATCGTATCATAGACTTTTTATACTTAGACGTGCAAGCATACAATTTTCTGAAGTTACTTCTTGTTCCACCGGAGACGATGGAAGGTGAAAGCTGAGGGTAAAGCGGATGCTCCAAGTCAGACAAATCCCTTTATCAAGTTTATTGCAGGAAATCAAGTGCCTATCAACAACGACGTCAACTTTGTTGTCCACTGGGATACCACTCACCCTAGTGACCATCTTCAGCAATCTACGAATCGTGACATAGTCCTTTTTAAGCAATCCAGCAAAGAATTAGGGTGGACAATAAAGAAGAATAGCTAGAATGCAAGAGCAGATGAACCGTAAGAGGAGGGGTTGAGTTACACCTGAGTGCCCTAAATTCTTAATGTAAAATGTCAGGAGTGGTGGTTGTTAGCTTATATACACGTATACCAATAAATATGGCAGTCTTGAACGAACTCATTTCTGACGAGGAACTCGAACTTAGGGCAATAGTGCCACTTGAGGACATAATGTTGAGAGTGCAGCTATGCCTGTCTTCCATAGTATTTAAATTCCGATAGAAAATATACAAACAAACTGAGAGAGTTATATGTATATATTCCTGTTTATGCAGGAAAATACCGATTGTATAGGCATGCATACGTTATTATATAAATTACACATATTTTGATGCACGGTGAATTTACACTTTGGTTGTTCTTTATGACATTAGAGTCAGTCAAAACAGTCTGCTATAAAGTCTGTTTGTGTTACACATAAAGAAATATAGAAATATTGTCTTCGCATTGACAAAAAACCCAGACATCAGATGGATGTAATATAAATATCTGAGAAAAATAAAGCCTGAAGTCTATTCTCCTATATAACTTTGTTGTGAACAGCACCCTTGGCTTAAAGTTTATTGATGTATTATGTTGAGATCAGTGATAAATTTATTCCATTTTTTTAGCAGTCTTATCGTAGTTTTATAACAGTAAAAAAAATTTGATCTTAGATGTGAAAACTAGATAAGGTCATGTTGAATTGTTTTACTGCATCAAATGGGGCCGAGGTCGATTCCAGAAATCTAAATTGGCGCCATTTATGTCTACATGGCAGACTGTGCACATACGTTGAGTAAGATATTGAAAACTGTTTGAAAACCAGCTGCTTCTTTATTTCAGATCATGAATACTACTTGTACAGAATGTTTGCCAGCGTCTTCAAATGGTAGCATGGGGTCGTTCATGGAATTTGAGTGGTTATGAGTTAAATAGTCTGAAGTCCAGAAAGTATGTGAACACGAAAAGAACATTAATGTTATATGCATATATAAATGTTTATGTCGATTGTTCATTAGTAAAGTAAACATTTACCTATAATGTAGGTATAATGTAGGAGTTTATTTAGTGTCATAATATATAATGATGAGTCTAAGCGTTTTAGTGTTCTGATGACTGATGCGTTGTAGAAATAATTGGTGCTGTCTGGTTGGGATAGTCATTGGGATAAAAGTTTATGCAGCAAGCGTTTGAAGGTTACAATAGAGTGACACGTCCTATTTCTAAGGGTAAACTAATCCTGTATGTTCCGTACTAAGTCTTTATGCATCCATGCTGCTAGTTTATTTATAGTTTTTAGAGTACTAAGGGTGTTGAAGTGCGTTTTTAGGTGCTGTAGTAGACTAATAGTTGATTCGTTCTAGGAGTAAATAGTTTATTGATATAATCAGTAGAGTGAAACAGTCTATGCAGAGAGCGTTTGAAGCTTGTAACCGAAGAGCAAGTTCTGACATCTAGGGGCAGGCTATTCCATATTTTAGAATACATGACTGTGAAGAAGTTTTCACGGAGTGTTGACTTAAAAGAATGAGTTGTCACTGTGGAAGTTTGGTTACGCAGATCGTAAGAACCTTCCTGTGCGAATTGTATGTCCCTGTTACCTGAGAATGATATTTTGTGAAGGACCTTAAAGAAGAATATTAGGTTTATAATAAGTCGCCTTGTCCAAAGTGGGTCAAGTTTTAGGATCATGCACCGTGAGATGTAGTCTTTCTTACAATCGTAGCCAAGTAGTTTTGAGGTAAAATATCGTTGGATACTTTCCATCCTTAGCTTGTCACGTGTGCGAGTGCTGCTTATAATAAATGGACAGTATTCTAGTAGTGGTCTGACACATGTTTTGTACAGAATTAGCTTGGCTTCATTGTCGTGAAAGTTCCTGAGTATGCATCCTAAGAGCATCCTCGATTTTCTAGTCTGTGATGCTACTTGCTCAGAGAATGTCAAGTCACTAGAGTACCTCAGGCCTAGGTCAACGACACTTCGGAGTCTGGTTAGGTTAGCAGATTGAAGCGTTAATTTCAGGTCAATTGAGGGTACGCCGAAGCAGATCCAGCCACATTTGTTCAGATTAAATTGGAGATTCCATAGGGACGACCAAGCAGTCATTTTATCTAATTCCTTCTGCACTACATTCTCGAAGTTCCCTAAGTCATCACATTGGAATGTATAAGCTACTTTTAGGTCATCTGCAAAGATGAATGGTTTCCCGTGCGTGAAGCAAGCGCATATGTCATTGATGTGTAGTGTTAATAGGAGGGGTCCAATGACACTACCTTGTACTACACCAGAAATGATAGGGCTAGGTTTGGAAGTTATAGACCCGAGTTTAACTATTTGGGACCTGTTGTTAAGGAATGATTTAAGCCATCCTAATAGTGGGTGACGTATTCCTAAGTATTTCAGCTTATATATTAGCAGTGAATGGTCGACACGGTCAAATGCCTCAGAAATGTCAAAGTAGATGACAAGTAATAGTTGCCGTCTGTCACGACTGCTGGTCACAAAATTAAAGAAGTCTAGGTGGCATGCTAAACAAGATCTGGATTTTAAGAATCCATGTTGGTTAAGACTTACAATATTGCAGCTGATCATATGATTGAGTGTGTTATCTTTAACTGGTCTGACATCTGCTTTCAAGCCAGATTTGTGTTTAAGCATATTAAATGGCGCTTTCCATATATCAGGGTAAGTTTGAGTTTCTAAGGATATTGTGAATGTTTTAAGCCGCAGTAGAGGAACGTCAGGGCCACCATATTTATAGAAGTAAGATGATATACCGTCAGTATCAAAACCTTTTGTGCTTTTCATGGTTGTTATAGTTTGGTTAATGTTAGCACGAGTGAATTCAACAGTGCTTATTTGGTTTGGTGTGAGTGGAAATGGAGTTTCTGCCATATTAGTAGCAGGGTGTATATCAAGTTACTGGACTGAAGGCTTAAGGTAGTTACCTGCAAAAGTTTTGTTGAATAATTCACATATGTCTTCAGAATTAGTGCATAGCTCACCTTTGTCTATGAGGAGAAAAAAAAGCGATTTTTGCGGTTCATTCGCTTCCTTAAGATTTCTGTGAGAGCATACACTGTAGCTGGACTGGCTACTGCGATGCGTTCTTCCTTTCTCATACGCAAATCTCGGGGGTGTAAGATGGAGCTAAGGGTGTCAAGCATTAAACCCAGTGTGCAAAGGTCGTTGTGTTTGAGGAAACTTGTCAAGAGTCTCTTCGAATTAGTACGACGTTTTGCTTTTATAAATGACTTTCTATGTGTGGAGACCTTTACTGTTTGGAATGGATGAACAGCATCTAAGCATTTGTTTCAGTTATGGTAGAAGATGCTCACAGATCTTGTGCGGTCATCAATAGTGAAGTATTCGCCCCGTTCGAAGGATCTTAACATTGATTCTACTAAGGCCCAGTTTGCCTCCCTATAGTTCCTATATTTTACTTGTTGTGAAGTGGAGGTATGAGCTGCATTGCAACTCAGTGGAAGTGGCAGTGCATACACCACTGTTTTGTGGCCACTGCCTGAAAACTCAGAGCCTACTAGGGTTAAAAGCGGCCCTATATTGTGGCAGAAGGCTAAGTCTAGTACGTTGTTACCTCTTGTAGGTGTATTGACAGTTTGTTTCCAGCCAAGTATTTTCAGTGTGCCTAAGAACTTATCGAATTTAGTTGGACCTGTAGGTATATCCCAGTTGATTTCAGGTAGGTTAAAGTCCCCACATAGGATCTTATGATCGTACTGTAAGTCGGATAATTGCTACAGAGTATTTTTAAGTTGGGTTTCGTAATTACTAAAGGTGCCAGGTGCTCTGTAAGTGCATCCAATTAATTCTATTGCGTTATTTAAGTGTACGTTGACCCATAGAGTCTCAGGCATGTTAGGTGTACTACTTTCTAGCCGTGATACAGTAAGTGCATTCAGAAAGTAAATGAGACAACCCCCTCCCTTACCACCTTCCCTGTCACACCGAAAGTGTGTGTAGTTATCTAAGCTTACTTCTTCATCCAGCATGTTCGAATGACACCAAGATTCAGTGATGGCAATAATAGGGGAATGTAAGTGAGTGCTCCGAGCATCGGCAATTTATCTAGAACAGATCTAGCATTTATGAGGATTAGGTAAAGATGAGAGTTATTTTTTTTTTTTTTTTTTGATTACAGCTTGATTCCACACTGTTGAAATAGCATTTGAAGTATTTAAGTTCGTTAATCAACCTCGAATATGGTTCAGCACCCAGTGGTCCTGCTTGACATGACGACTCTATGTTAAGAATAGTTTCAACATCATGCTCACCTATGTCTACCGAGTTGGTGTGTGGTGTTTTCGGAGAAGAATTAAAAGTTGGAGTACTGGATTTGCTAAAGGCTAAGACACATTTTTGTTTTTAAGTGTCTAGAAACGTGGGTAGAGCTCTTTATTTGACCTATATTTCTGCAAGTATCAAGTGTGTTTGATGGATGCGGGCGCAATAGACTGTTCCTGTTTTCATGCAAGGCGGGAGCCAGCACTGGTAGTTTATAAGCATTAAAATTACTAGCAGCTGTTTTTCCATCGCTGACAGGTACACACGGTGTGTGCATCCCCACATTGATATCACACTCAAAAATCACAGTGTCCATACTCAGCTTCATTACCAGGTGTACTGTGTGGTGCACTCAGTTGAGGATTTCATCTAACTAGAGATTCGTCTCGACTGTACTAAACACGCTGGTTTATGCCGATGAAGTCAGTGATTTATGCGACATACTGGGTCGAAGTGATCAACAGGATGATAGTATCAAGGTCAGGGTAGATGGGTGAATGTCTTAAGTCAGATTCGAGTGATCACTCGAAAAACTAGGCCGAGAAATGCACCAAGGAGTTTCTGTGTTACCCTCCTAAGTTGAAACAATTCCGATGCTGTGAAATATTTCTTGATGTGATTTCTCACATCCAACAATAAAGACACATTCCCATCCATTTCAGGAACGCTGGAATGTTGAGATACCTATTGAAGAGGAATACGGTACAGGTGGTAAGTTGACATTCAATTTCTCCATTGAACACGTTTACCGTCAATATGTGTTATCAACTAATTCATGAACAACATTCATCCACTTTGTTTATGTAGCCTGGAAAAGTGGAACACGAGATGTGGAAAGCGTTCCGTGTCAGGGCGAAAGTGATTTGCGCACAGAGTGAAGTGAGTTATGCCTCTAACATGCACACATATTTCCATATATTTCATCATGTCAGTATACTTCCGATTTATTACATCCAGTCGTGAATAAAATATGCTGTGTAGATTGTTGAATGTGTGTGTATCGAGCGGATCTGAAAAACTCTTGATAAGTGAATGTGTGTGTATGTTGGAGACACATTTCGAGTGACGAATCATCGCTTTTGTAACTTCCTGATTAACACACTTCTCTTTCTTATTCACCATTTCACATCGTGTAGATTGGGAGACCTTACTTACACGAAGTAGTATTCTGTTTCAATGAAGCGTCATCACTCGTCGACTGTCCGCCAGAATACGCTAGTGATTTACAGTCTTTTCAACCAGATCTGGATGTGGAAGATGAGGAATCACTTATGCAGCAGATGGAGTCTCAAATCTTGTGTCCAGCCAAGTTCATCATTCCTGATTACCAGATAGTTGAAGACAATGCACGACTCTCGAATTTCCTCCCATTACTTCCTGATGAGCTTGATTAGGATGATAATCATTGTGTGTGCGTGTGTATTGTAGAACGTTTTTGACACCAGTTAGATGGGAATCATTTTGATGATGATGATAATGTTCCACTCACTTTTAATTTGATGTACTCACTTCTTGTAATGTAGTTAGTTTCTAGCAAATAAAATATATTTTACTTTCCAATGGATTTTTCTCACTTTCATTATCCGTCACTTAGCATGGATATTATGTCTTCATTTCTAACACACAAAATGTGTATGTCATCGAATAATCTTGTTTTGTGGAAACAGGATTTGGAGGTGAATTATCGATTTGATGTTACTGACTTTCTTCCTATCGTAATCAGTTCCCTCGACGTTGACATCGGACACCATCAGCATGCTGCGACACTTTGATATGTGTGTAATGAGCTTCTGTGTGCGTTGGTGGCACAGTGGTTAGGACTCTCGCCGACCATGCATATGGTCCGGGGTTCGAGCCCGCACCTGATATCTATGGTCGGCCATGCAAAATTTGGGCTACCGATATCTATGCTGAAAATTCCATACTTGTACCGAAAATACAGTGTGGAATCAAGCTGTAATCAAAAATATAAAATATAAAAAATATAATAAATATGCTGAAAGCGTGTCATTCCGACGTACACAATTATTCGTACGATCAGGAAATCTTTAGTTCCATATCAATTCCAGAAGAACTTCGTAACAAAATGTACAGAAGATGAAGCGTAAACAGAGGTAGCACAATTTGAGTACACTTCAACAAACAAAGTTTCTTTCAATGAAGGCTTCTCACAATTTTTCATCGCATTATGTCAGTATGCCGCATGAACAACACCGATGCCAAATATCTCTGTGTTCACCTGTCACAATACACAAGCATCTCAATGATCCCGCCATCATACTCATTTGTCATACTTGTGTACACAGAATGACACTGCTCTCTCGTTCTCTCTTATCTCTTCTAATCACCACATCATCGAGTGATTCATTGACCTAATTCCACTTTCATTCAGGTCATTCTCATAGTTGATTCACTTTTCTCTTTTGACAAAATCTCTTGTCAACAAACTGATAATTATTTAATTAACAAATTGAGACAACGAGATGAAGAAAGAGATTCCAGTTGAACAACAAGAGAAGTTGTTTATCACAGTGTGGAATGTGATCACGCCGCGCTGTCAATACAGCGGCATGATTAGCTTGTTTGTTGAAGATCACTGTCGATCACCGCCTACGGATATGAATACTACTCGCACTACTACTACTACTACTAGGAGTATAATTAACAATACTGTCTTACGTTTAAAGCTTCTCACACCACAAACAATAGTTGGAGTATCATCATGAAAGATGGTAAGCCGCTGAATATCAGCTATTCAAGTTGCCTTCCAAGTCAAGCAATGAGCTCGACTTTGATCCGGAATGCACAAATAATACGAAATTCTCGTTTGTTGAGATAATAATAAGTGTACATTTGTCCTAACCTCTTTGGTGGTCGAATTTCCAACTAAAATGTTTGAGTAGCTTAAAAATCCACATTTAGTCATATGAAAAAGAGAAGACGTTCATCGAGGAGACTCTTTTCGGCGAATTCACTCACATATAAGCTGCACAATCGCATTTATGTATAATTATTTGTGTGTGTGTGTGGACATGAGTTTTGTCAGGTTTGAATGATTGATCAAATAATACAAGAATGATCTAGTATAGAAACAAGGTTAATTAGACAGTAACTAAAGTGAGGTTGAGTTATCAAATTAAGTTAGATGACGTAATATAATTGACTAAAATGTTTCAACATAGGTCAGGGTAGCAACAGAGGTAATTGCAGGTAGAGGCTAAGTAGAAGTGGGGTGGTGAATAATGCCACCTAAATTAGAAATGAAATTGAGCTACTAGGTTGGATGACATAACATAAATGACTAGAAATTGAGCGTTGGTCAAGTCAATAACAGTGATAGTGAGGTGTAGAAATTAAATTAGGTGAGTATGATGAACAAGAAGGTTGAAAATGTAAAATATTCCAATTGAGAAGTTAAAATAATGCTAATGAAGAGACAGACATAAAAGAGATTAGGTAGAATTTACTTGCCGGGTAATAAGATAGATTACGTCCATTGCAAGTGTAGTGATTAAACGAACTTCTGTATGCAGAGTTCAGAACTTAGCAAGTGATTCGCCATTGCTTCTGAGGTTTGAGGAAGTCTGATTCGCACACCTTTAGGAAGACTTCTCCCTATTCCGTAGACGACCTTGAAGTTTGTTTGGGGTGTAGCTTGGTGTCCACAATCTACCAGATGTCGTAAGACGGAGGTTTGTGGGTTCATTGTTTCTCTCCTTTGTAAAACCATCTTGTAAAGTGTTCTGTAATACGTTTGACAAGAAAAACCTCGGTACGGCCAGAGAACCCTGCTCCACACGAGCAGGTGAATTGACAAATACACACTAATGATGCAAGCAGTGGTCACTTATCCTTCACGTTCACATGAATCACAGGTTTTGTGTAGAAGGTTAGTAGTAGTTCAGCTGCGAAGAAGTTCTTCTTAAGTGAGCGCGATAGTCGAATTTTTAGCCTTTCCTCAGATATATCTCCACTGAATTAGAGGTTCATGTGAAGTAGGTTTTTCGTGAGGCTAAGCATGGGTGGCTTTTCTGGTCTAGGATTCATAGATTTTGCAATAAATCGTTCTGGACGAGGGTTCTCTTGAGATTATCCAGTTCATCTTCTATGGTGTCCGAGGTGCCAATTCTGTGAACTCTGTAGCTGAGTAAACGGATCAGGTTTCGTTTGTTCTATAAAGGTACCCAACTGTGAAAGTTAGTAACCTGTTAGTTCCACGTCAACTTTCTGTAGGAAGATCTTTCCAATGTTCCATCCTGCTCTCGTCTTGTTTGTTGGACGTCAAGAAAGGATATTTTGAAAACGGAAACGTTCTCCTGCGTGAACTGAATCTTGGGGTGACAGTTGGTAAATGACTTCTAGATGTCGTCTAGATTTTCTTCATTTTTGACGATGGTGAAATTGTCGTCGACGTATTTCTTATAGATTTCGAAGGCATCGATCATTTTCTTCAAGCATGTAGTTTCGAGATTCGCGATGAAGAAATCTGCGAACAGAGAATTGTACATAAAGGGTACACCCAAGTAGGAGTTGTTGAAAACGCTTGGTTTATATACCGATGTTTATTCCTTTGGAGTGAACAAGTTCGCATATATAGCATATTGTTTCAGTCAGTTGGACGTTTGTGAATATTAATGTGACATCTAATGAAATCATGGTTTTGTTGAATACGTTGAATTTTCGAATGAGTCGATATAGTGGAATGAATATCGAACGGTGTGGCAGGAAACTTGTATTCTGGTTGGTTCTGGTAGGTCTTCTAACCATTTGACTGTGTGATGACTAGGCGAATCGAGCATGTCGAGGATTGGTCGAAGCAAAGAAACAAACCTACACAGTGGCAATTGTATCAGGATTGATAGAAAGTCAACACATTCCAATCAATATAGCGGCTTCGATTTATCCCTGTAAAGTTGGAGGTAGTTGGGAGTTTGGAAAGTCGAGTTAGGAGACTAGCTGTTAATTGAGAATATTTTAATGGTAAAATCAAAGAAGACGATTAGTTGTGGATAACTACACATCAGATTTTATTCAAAAATGTATACATGAAGACCTCTATGGAAAATTAACGTTGTTGTTTAAATAATGAATTTACAATGGATAATAAGAAATTGAAATCTCTGTTGCCGTACCATACAAACAAGGAACATGAGAAGACATACTTGGGATTCTTATTCAAGCTGGAATTAGCGTAGACATCAAACCAACCAACTCAATGAGAGACAGACATTGTTAATTGAAGCACTCGATATATCGAATTACGACGAATATCCTACGATCAATATACCAAATATCATGCAATGACCGTGGGGTTGATTGCATAGTTGAAACTAGAAGATGGTTGGGAGTTGAGAATTTCTCTAGGCCTACAATTATTGACCACGTTAAGTCAGGCATTGCGACGCATTCACTTGCATATACTCAATCACTCAAAGCGACATATCCAGATGGCGACGAAGGTGGACTGTAGAATCTGTTTTCCTGGAATCAGCCTAATACCGGTAAACGGAAAAATAACTGACTGTGTAGACTTCAAGGATTCCAATTCGACATGATTTGTTTACTGGCCACCAGTAAACGTATTGATGAAATGGTGAAAACCACTGGCCAGTAGTCTGATCTTCTTCCTCTGTACACAAAGTAGCCTGGAAAATCACTGATCATTTTTACGAGGAATGTCCACTTCCGATTCAACAACCATAATATCTCAAGATCTACAGCGAATCGATTCGTCTCTGGATCAGCCAAAATGGTTTACGTTAACGCATAGAAACAGTCATCCTCATAGAATATGCGATACAATTAAAATCCATAGTGGGGGATACCCTCTCAGGTCAACACCCTGACATATGAGTCATCTAAATATTAAGGTCTTATGTTATTATATTATGTCTTATCTGAGATCGACCAGATAATATAACGAAATTTAGTTGAAATTGAAATACAACGTAAAAATTGTAGGAATGAACACCTCTTTCAAATGCATTCCAAATAGTGCTGATTTGAAGGTGGTAAGAACAATCTGGACGTCGATCTTCAACTGACTGATGTGATGTAAATCACGATCGATAAAACAACATTGAAAGTATAGCAGATAATTTTCATTTTACCCACAGTCTTGGTAAGTAGAACGTATCCAAAAACTCTATTTCTGGGGAAACTAACGATGTTTGGTATTTGGATATCCTCTTGTGTACTGTCACCTGTTGTTGTAACGATGCTGCCTGGTCAGATCAGTGAAGGAGGTAACCTATTCCAAATGTCCACAGTTGATTGTGATTGGTCCTGTTGGTTGGTTGGTTGTGTTTTTCACCACTGTCATCTGAATGCTCACTTGAAGTCCCATATTTGCCACTTGTTCTGCCGACATGTCAGCTTCAGCCTGCAGTCCATCAAAATTATGTTGCCTAATAAATTAATCTTCCACGAAGTCCAGATGCTATAGAGTC